GCCCCCCAGGCCGTTACCAGTTCCAAGGCACCATTTACAGACTGCTCCAAGACGCTCACATTATGGCTCGAGAACAAGAGAACCACGTCGTCCGCCAGTCGTCCAGCCGTCCAGGAATCATGTTCATTTATAACTGTTTGCATGATACAGATAATGGGCCACATGGACGTGCTGGGCATCATAGCGGAGGGCTTCAACATCTACTTCCCGATGCTGGTGGTGCTGCTGTGCGTGGCGACGTACTTCTCGCTCGGCAGCCGCCTGCTGTCGCTCTGCGGGTTCCAGCAGTTCGTGGGGGACGATGAACTCACCTCCGACCTTGTGGACGAAGGACGGGAGATTGTGAAACGAGGTTTGTAACATTACATAATCCAAACTTCAATTGATATTAGACTTTATTTACTAGAGTATAAAGTTGAAAATGCTGTAGAAATAGAGAGATTGGAGTATTAATAATAATATACCTTTTTTATTTCATTTCTCTGAAAAGTTAGTAAACAGAACAGTATTCATTCCTTACTCATATCATCGACTGCACGGTCAGTGCGGTGGCTGGGCAACCGGCTGCCGTGCAACATGTCACGGGTTTGATTCCCGCACGGAACAACACTTTGTGTGATCAACAAATTGTTGTTTCTGGTCTGAGTGTCATTGTGTATGTAAACTTGTATGTTTGTAACGCACGACATAGGAGAAAATCGTAATGTGGGGCAACGTTTTATTTTAAATCAAAAAATCAAAATCAAATTACCAAATGAAAAAAATTTTTGCATGCTATGTTTTATCTTAGCGAAACATGCTGAGCTACTGTAATAATAATATTTACACCAATGTATACCATGTATTACGCAAATAAATGATTTACTTACTTGCTATTGTCACAAAACCTATAAACAAATCAACTTTTGTTAAACTAATCAACTCTGGCATGATATATTAAACAAATATTGTCCACAGAGAAACGCAAGCGCCAACGCGCCGAAGAATCATTGACTCGTCGCCGCGACTACAGCGAGAGGTTCTCCAACTACAGGTCGGCACGCGACGCTCAGGATGGAGGTAATACGACTTAATTAACTAAAAAATCGCGTGTTACGTGAAAATACTGAGAAAAGCTCCACCAGTTTCTTCTAGTAAGCTTCGGCTTCCTCATACTAGCCTACTACGCTGCGCGACATCGCCGCGACTGCGCACACTGCTTATGAGAGAAAAAGCTACTACTTTAGTAGCTTTAGTAGCTTTTCTCAGTATTTTCATGTGAGTAACTCACGATTTTTAGTTAACTATAATATTTATATCAAGCAGCTTTATACCACTATATCGACATCTGTATCATCAATCATCTACTAGAAACCCATTATGTTCTTAATTATATCGCAATCGCCTTTTCTTTATAACAATACTAACAAGTATACTTGTTCTGTTTGTGTGTGACTGCTCTTGGTATTGCTGTAGTTCCCAGTAACACTTGTTTAATTTTATACTATTTAGTTAGTTCTTTATTTTGCTATCACCCGAATGTGTGCTTAAAACTGTTTTTATTAAAAAATATTTATGCAATTTGATTGCTTAAAATGTGAACGAAAAGTTGGCATGTAACTAAAGTTTTATAAGTTGTTGCATTTACATTGCTTAGTTTTAATAGTAAAGACTACAAGGTGTGCGTTACCCAGGCCAGATGTTGTTTAGAAAATGGTCATTTGAATCTTATAGATAATAATTAGTTGTGCGGCTTCTGTAATTGTTGCGCACATTTTTAAATTTGTTGCGCTTATATTTTTTTTAATGATTTCACAAAAACATTTCCTGCTGGGGTAACATTACCCCAGCCAGAACCTTACTTCATCTAGACAACAAATTTTATAGCTAGTAATTATTTAAATATTCCTATTAGAAATAAAAAGGTCTAGCTGGGGTAACGTTACCCCAGCAGGAAATGTTTTTGTGAAATAATTAAAATATAGATTTTTATATAGCGTAACAAATTTAAAAATGTGCGCAACAATTACAGAAGCCGCGCAACTAATTATCTATAAGATTCAAATTACCATTTTCCACAACATCTGGCCTGGGTAACGCACACGACTACAAGAAGTCGATGGACATAAAATGTCTAATGTAAAAATGTAGCAGAAGATAAAGTTCTTTAAATCGAAGAAAACCCCTATTTGTTTTGATTGAAACTATCGTACCATAGTTTACTATCACCCATTATATTCTAGTATCAGTACCAAGAGCTAAACAAACAGACCCTTCTTTCCTATCATCATTAATGTTATCGGTTATTGTGCATTTTGCTCACTTTTCAGCCCACACTGGGCTTCTCAACGACGTGGACTCAGACTACTACGTACAACCGAGCCCTGAACGTAATCAACCACAGCTGACAGCCTACCAACGAGCAGAGCTACCCTACAACAGGTCTAACCTTACTCTTGAAGATGAACTGGACCACCGCTTCGGGGAAAGTACCTTGCCGTCCATACGAAGCGAGTATGACGACCGACGCCGGGACAAAATGACCATCCCACCTCGGGGATTGTTTGACGATGTATAAAGTGCAATATAATATCAATAGGTAATTATGTCGAAGTTTTTGTTGAGGTATTGTCATTCTAATTTATAAGCAATAGGGTTTGAATTGTCTCGAAATAAGGTAAGAGTTTTTACATGTGTGTAAAGTGGTGTACAGTTTGGAGACCTTAAATAACAGTATACTTCAGTTTCACTACATATTTTGCAATATTTAAATGAATTGATGATAAAAAATATTATAGTAAAATGTCCCATGTTACGTTTTATTTTCTCTCTTACTTATAGTAGTTTTGAAATATATGGTAGCTTATTTTTTCTCATAAATGGCAACACCTTCACAAAAATAGGTCAATTAAGTTATTGTAATTAGATTTATGTGATTGTTAGATAATGATTGCAGTATATTAAATGTATTTGAATGTATGGCAAGCGTGAAATGTGAACGTTAGTTACAATTATTTTATTTTAGTTACAAATATACTATATGGCTTACATTTTTATATAATTAACATTAATTCGGTGAAACCTATAATGCAATATTCGAATTTTAATCCCTTAAGTAGCTTGCAATTGATACATTTTCATAGAAAAACTTATTTATAAAATTATATAAATAAATAATAGTCAATGCTTACTGTGAAAAAGTTTTTAATTTTCTCAACAATATGAAACTTATTATTTCCTAGTCTTTATTGCAATAAATAAGAACAACTCTTTATAAAAAGGGTACATTAGTGTGTTTTACGATAGTATATCGAGTCACGTAAAGTTATGATTTAGTTGTACAATTTACGAAATCTTAGCTTTGACTACAAACTGCACGAAATTATTGCCACTATAGTAAATAATAATGTATTTACGTTTTTGGTATTGCCGTAAGACTTGCGAACATCCTTAATTCTTAAACTCACAATCGCAGCTAGCATAGTTCCAAGATCAACAACTGTTTCCTATCGTCTCACAAATATTACTATCATGAAAATAAATTTCTACTGTAGAATTCACCAAAAAGCTATTAAATTGGTAGGTTTACTAAAAAATAGTTTTTAGACCTTAGGAACCGGGCTTTAAGGGTAGTTTAGTTCTAACGTGGCATAATATGTTAGATCACCAGTTTACATGTCGGCACCTATTATTTATATGTCGTGCTTAAGCGCACACAACTAACTTTCTATATTATCCTTTTTATAATGGCCTAATGCACATTTCAATATTTTTTCGAAGTGTGTCATAAACCTATGCTATTGTTAATTATAATCTGTAATTTCTACACTAATAATACTTTATAATTTCTGATATTTTGACAGATCTTAACCCTGAAAGCTCATGTTTGTATGTCTCGGCAAGGGATTTTTAATAATGAACCTTAATGTACACATTATAGAATGTAAATGTTTCAATATTTGACTGTAAGAGCCCTATTTTATATGCGACTCCGGTCCACTAATGAAATAGGGCCCTTAAGAGGCATTGTTCCAGGATTTTAAAGTATTACGTTATTTGTAAAATCGTGTTAAGAAATTACTATGGCTATTAAGTTTCAGTGACTTATCTTAAATATCGATTTTATCGACTTAAAATGTATCTACTTAACCAGTGTCAAAAACTATGTGCAATAATAAAACCTAAATTAAGATCACGTATAACCTCATATACATATTAAAGCAATTACAGACTTAAGTCTAATCTTCATACAAAATTGTCGAAACATCCCTTGTCATCTCTTTATCCGAGTAAAATTATGCAGTTGTTTTTATTTTATTGAGATTATTATATCAAAATGCTGTAAACTTCGCTTGCATTAAAAACGAATACTATTTAATAAATTATATCTTATTTTGTGTGTACATAAATAGTTACTTATCTATTATTGTAAGTCAATGTTTTTATGCTAACTAATATTTTTGTTATTGTATACTTTATTTCATTCCATAGGTTTATTTAATGCAATAGCATTAAACACTGATGTGATATTGTTATCTGGTGTATTATTTAAACCCTTAAATAAAATACAAGAATAAATATAAGTATCAACAATTCCTTTACTTGTCCCGCTGCAAAACAACTTGTGCCTAGAAACAAAAACTTTTTTACATATTTCATGGGCCGTTTCACCACTATCTCGCCTAGTGGTAAGCGATGATGCGGTCTACTATGGAGCACGTCGCCCATAAGCAACCTATTCACTCGTGCCTAGATGACACCCAGGTTATACCCTTCAGAAAATATAGACTTAGTGCGTGTAGATGGGAGATCTATCATGAATCCGTGACGCTTCGCCGATTGTCTTGTGTTACGATAATGGAAATAACTAGGGGGAATCAAGTTGTGCAATTCCCCCGCACACTCACTGAAATGTATCTGGTAGAAAATCGAAAGGCTTGCAACCTTACGCCTGTGTTGGAGGCTTATATACATATTTCCTATGAAATAGTTTTATCACCATTTACCATCATCATACTGACCACAAGTCATCCACTATTAAACCAAGGCCTTTTACAATCAATTCATTGCATTACCCAAGCCAGATGTCGAAAATGATCATTTGAAACTTATAGATTAGCAGCTTCTGTAATTGTTGCGCACATTTTTACACGCTTACCTATAGTTTTCTAATTATTTCATAAAATTATTTTCTGCTGGGGTAACGTTACCCCAGCCAGACCTTTTTCTTTTTAATGGGAATATTTAAATAATTACTAGCAATAAAATTAGTTATCTAGATGAAGTAAATGTTGTGCCTTATTTTTTATTTGTTCTTTCATCGATTGCGAAGTTATTCGAGATTTTGCTGGGGTAACGGTTTTGGTTTTGCTAGACATTTGAAATGGTTAGCGGATTCTTATCATATTTTGTACTTGGCTTTTAGTAATTAGTTGAAATTTGTTCTGCAATAAAAAAACCAACATAATACATAGCATAAAGATTGTTTCATTAACCTTTTGAGCGCCAGGGTCACAAATACGTGACAAGCGAAAACTGTCCCTGAGCGCCAACGACACAAATATGTGACAAAAACAGCGGTACATTAAAACACGAAATAAACTATTTAAACATTACTTTAATGCCTATTTATTTATATACCTGTAAAATAGAAGGTCCAAAATTTATTTATTTCCATAAAACTAATTAAATTGCATTATAAATATTGAGAAATTTTACGTTAAAAAGAAAGAAATAAACTCTGAAAAAAGAATGTCCTCACACGCCAGAGTCATAACTGCGTGACCGCTAGTGATGTAGCGCATGTTGGATAATATCATTATTTTAAATCAAAGATCGATGCGAAACTTTCCTCTGGAATATATTATTTTAGGTATAATTTGGTACTAGGATAAAGCAGCATTAATTTTATAAAACCAGTCTTAAAAATCATTCAATAAGCTACATAGTCAAAAATAAAATTTGGTTGGGTCGAATTTCGATATTCACTAATCCCAACTCGAGCGCATCCCTAACGCAACCCGAATTATCAGTACCCTGTACGCCATGGTCACGACTAGACGACAATATCGTGACGTCACAAGCGCGGCGACCAGAAATTAGTGAAGTGAATGAATAATATTTATGATTAATTTACTTGTGATATCGAGTTCAGAGTTCAGAATGCAGGTTGCATTGTAGATTTTGTATAATTTTGCTCTATTATTCAAAAGATTTATTAGTATAAGACTGATTGGTAATTGTGATAATTATATATAATCGTTAATTGTTTTAATTTGTTACTTTTTATGCCAGGTTTATAGAACTTAATATTTAAAAACATGTATACATAGTACATACTGTATAACATTTTATTAAAATTTTCTATTTTTTCATAGTTTTTATTTACCTTCTTAACCTATTTCAATCATATATTTTTAAGTACCTGTTACATTCGGAATTATAAATCTGATTTAAAAAACGTGTTTCATTTATTATAAAATAATATTGTACTAGAACATCGATAAACGAGATATTACGTTGCCACATCCTTATTTCGGAAGCGAAGTAGTTATTAAAATGGCGGGCCGTCCACGCCATGGTCACAATATGAAGACAGCAGTGTTGTACCTACAGTTATTATATTTAAATATATTGTAGTCTCATATCTGTTATTACGGTATTATACAAGTCTGTAAATAGTGTATAACTATTACTTTAATAGGAAGAAATGTAATGTTGAATTAAATTTCAATGTTATAAGGACATTATATTTCGAAATTAAAGACGAAAATGAAAATAAAATTGATTATCGATGAAGTTTTGGAATCCCTATTTTTTTCGTAGGTATTTGCGGTGAATTTGTGGCCTGGCGTTGAGGGCAAGTTCATGCGTTTTTGCTCTGGCGTTCAAAAGGTTAA